ACATTACATCAGAGAGGGTCAGTATATTCTCTTTCCTTTCCTCCAGTAGACCATACATCATGTGACAATAAAGACTCAAATTCCTTCCACTTGTACTACGAATCGACTCACAGGCACTACACAACTTATTAAAGAAGGAATCCACACCACTCCCACCAAGCTTACGACAATCTAAGAACACACTATCACACCTTTCCTTTACAATAATTTCCTGTATTTCTTCCTTTCTCCTTCTCCTTTCAACAGGATTACTTATCTCATCCACATGACTGACTATTACAATAACATGGCATTGATTAAGAGCTTTCTGTGCTTCATTTCTCACAACTGTTAGCCACTGATGAAGCTGTTTCACTGCTTCCTTCTCCAATATATTGACTACTATCAGGAACACACCACCAGAACCTTGTAACAGATTCTCAATGACAGCACTGTGACTGGAGTAGTATTCCGAATGACCAGCAAAATCATGAAGAATGATGTTACCCAGTGTCCTGTGTTGTAGTTTATAAGGAATGATGCCAGCAGTACAGGGCACTACCCCTCCAACATTTCTAAAGGAACCAAGAAGAGTAAAACTAGCTGTGTCGCTGATGACATGACTAAGAGTACTTTTACCAGCTCCAGGATTACCCACAAGGAGGACGTTAACATAAGAATCAATTGGATGAGATGATTGTATGCCACCAAACTTCTTCAAGACAGAAAGAGTATCAGTGTGACCTTTCTCCTTAGCTAGTGTAAATGGTGTGTCCCCATACTTGTCTTTAGCCAATGGATCACATTTACCAGTTGATAGTAAATATTCAGCAGCTGCAGAATTACCCCAATAAGCAGCAAGGTAAAGAGGTGTCCGCCCACTCAAGTCAATAGCCATTGGATCACAGTGACACTCATCAATGAGATATCTCATCACATCAACATGATTACCTCGTGCAGCCCAATGAAGACAAGTACAATCCGCACCGTCTCTTTCGTGTGGGTCACAGTGATATTTAGTGATGAGATCTTTTGTAACATCTAACCAGCCATTCCTTGAAGACAAATGAAGCAAACTATATCTATTAAAAGTTCTTCTAATTTTATTCGGTTCCTTCACTAATGGTAGTAAGCGAACAGCTTCTTTATGATCTCTTTTGTCAAACGCAGTCCAACACTTGTCCTCTAAGGACATCTTGTGATCAGTTAATTAGATTCATTGATACCAGCCCACACACAGAGCAGGAATTCATTAATCATGATAGGGAGCATAATAATGACACTCACTGCTCTCTTATAAATATTACATACATTTGGAATTAAAGACAAAGATAATTATAAAAATACAGTTAATAATAAGTGTACGTGTATTTTGTATTTTTGTGTTTATTTCTTCTTTTCCTTTTCCTTCCCTTTCTTCCCTCCTCCTCCATCATCCTCTCCCATTGCTTCTTTGATAGCTTTAGCTCTCTTCTTTCCAAGAGGAGTCTTGTTAAACCAAGCCTACATTAACAAAAAAGGTATAAAATAATTATTAGTTCTATTTATACTATAATTACACATGTACATGTATGTACATATACATTTGTAGATTATTTTTAGTAACAAGGTTCTCAGTATTAATTTGCATCAACACTGTTTGAGGTGATTCCGACTTTAATTATTCAAGTTACCGCCATTTTAAAAAACACCAATAATTTGAAAATTTCCCAAGGCTATAGGCCTATGGATTCTTCCAAAAAATGGCTAAAGAATGACACCCATGCAATTTTTATTACATTTTCTGATACATATTAATGTCCTTATGCTGTTTAGAAAGTTTGAGCTGATTCTGCATGACTTCAATATTTCGAGTTACAGCCATTTTTTGAAAATGCCAAAAATCTGAAAAATACTCAAGGCTATAGATCATGGTTTTTTCAAAAAATGGCTCCGAAATCAACCCCAAATTTCTATTACATTTTTGATACATATTGATGTGCTGTTATTTAATACAGACCTCCCTCAATGACGTTTAAAGAACTGCTCAGAAATTCAAAAGAACTTTCAGAAAAAAGAAATGAAGCATATGAAAAGTAAATCATCATCATCATCATCATTAAATATTATTATTATTATTATTATTATTATTAATGGTTATTAGACAGCTATTAATGTATCAGCAACAAGTTAGTGAAGCAGTCCAAGAGAACAAAGTAGCCAGAAGGAATATAAGAAAGTATTATTAATACTATTTTATTATTTTATTATTATTATTATTTTTCAGTGAGACACAGAAGCTCCTAAAGCAGAGGAATGAGGTGACAATAGAGGCAGAGAAGATAATGTCAAAATATACTCCACAATATCAAGTCAGCTCATACCTGGCTGATGTGACTCATGATGACTGAAATAATAATAATAATAACAATAATAACAAAAATAATAATAATAATAAATACTTATTTATTAGAAATGAATAGTGTAATAGAAAATAATTATAATAGAAAAAATGATAAAGTAATAAATGAAGATGAGACGGAATACCACAAACAAATAAAAGAATAAATAAATAAATGAATAAATAAACAACTACCATATTAAATAATGAACAAAATACTAATAATACCATACTACCATAATAAACAACAACTCTTCCTTCACTCTTTAAACATTCATTACTATTTTAATTTTTTGAAAAAATTAATATTTTGAATATTTAAAATTATGATTTTAAAATAATTATGAACAATAATAATAACAGAAATGACAACAATATAAATCACACACTAGCCTAAGAAAAACAAACTTGATATGTTACTGTCAGTTTGTTATTGACAATATTTATCTCTAATGTTAGTAGCAATGTGATGCTTTCCTTCTTTATCCAGTGCTGTAGCTAATGATGACCAACTGGGACCTCCTTTCTCTCTCACTTTATCTTTTCCTCTTAACCAGGCAGACATACACTGTCTGAAGCACTTCTTAGAGTCTCCATTATTATCTTCATTGATGTCTTCTAGTGTAGGCTGATAGAGTCCTAGCTGAAGACCAAGATCATGCCATAT